ATGAAACAAAGTTAACACTATAATTTGGTGTTATGGACAGGGCCGGAGCTGAGATTTTGGGGACTTAAAACATTTGTTAAGAACTCTAAAAATTTTGGGGGCCACGGTCAATATTTAGGGACTTATTCGTAAGTAAAATTTTTTAAAAAATTTTAGGGGTCAAGGCAAATGTTTCGTTCGGCTGTGTCCAGATCCAACCCTGATTATGGGTTGAATTTTTCTTACATTTTAACATTCAATGTAACTTTGATTAACGATCAGCTAGAGCAAATATACTGGAGCAATATATGCCTTACTCAAATTTAACTTCTACCTAAAAAGAAAAGTACTACGAGTAATTATCCCTCATGAAGTCGATAAGGTTGCCGTGGAGATTACAACTTACAAGGAGTGTGTTAACTCGCGTCAAAAGGGTCGCTTATGGTTATGGATCATGTGGACATAGCGACCCAGAGGACTGATTGGTTTTCGCTACAGAGATCGAGTTGCTCCAGAGACTACATACAAACTTCAAGGATGTGTGTATTTCCAACATTCCTAGAAGTATAAACGGCAGAACGGACGCACTAGCCAAAGAAGTAAGGAGGAGAAGATTTGTCTTTTCCCATATAGATCAGACCAGGCCAGATGAAGATGCTCCTCGGAAGATCGACTCGTCTGTTCACCACTTGATCTAGTTAAGATGGACGGCGGACAAAAAAAAAATATATTGATTTGTTTTGCATACCAAGTTTAAAATCATCTATGTTTGTTACAAAATGTGAAATTCAACAAAATATCATTGTTCTCTTTATTTTGAATTCCGACTTCCATTTTTTTAATCAATTTTGTTTTTATTGCCCGAGTTTGGTTTTGAAATTATATATGGTTTCATTCATTCCCTTTGTATTGATGTATTCAATGACTTAGAACTTGTTTATATATTGATTTCGTCAAAATAGTTCAGAAAAGCTTTTTGTAGTTAGCTAATAAAAAGGTAATCGTTTATTTATAATCTATGATTTTTAGAACTATATAATTTATGTTATTCAAAGCACTTATGCATTATTTCTTTAACAAGAAAGCGTTTTTTCTTTTTTGCTAGCTAAACTAAAAAAAAAAACAAATCGTTTGAATTCACAGTACTTTATATCAAAATGTCACATCCAATGTTTTTCATGTGTGTTTTAGTATTAATCTTATATTCGGATAAGCAAAAGAAACATCATTAAAGATAGAGTTTTTGTCAGTATAGGGCAGTTTATGAGTTTTTTTATCAAAAAAAGACAGTTGTTACTAATGGGGTAGTTTATTAGCGAAATGACCTAACTTGCCCTCAACAAAACCGAACCCGCTTACTTCATTTAGTTGGGCTTTGAAAATCTGGTTGAGATTTCAAATTTCGAAATTAGAGTTGGGCCCCCCTTGATTTGAAGGCGACGTTTAATAAAAGCAAAGAAGAAGACTTTCCATCTTCTTCTTCATTTGTTTCTTTTGCTCGCTCACGGTTACCGAGGTTCGAGAGAAGACGATTACGGTGGGGATTTTATCTAGGGTTTGGTTTCTGATTCGCTGTGCGGTGTAGAGACATTAAAAGTGATGGCTACAAGGAGGAGCAAGCGTGGGAAAGAGATCGACGATGTCTTGAAATTCCTTAGTGCACATGGTCTATGGACTTGTACATGTGGACATATGCATGGGAATGTTTCGTTGTTGTTCTTGATAGTTTGTGTACATAGGTTTGTTTATGTTTTACAACTGTTTTTTGGTGTACACCTAACCACATCATTGGTGGTCATGTGGTGAAATCGGGTTGGTACATGAAACATTGAAATGTACATGTGGACATTCATCTTGGGGTAGTGCAGTTGCTGAACTTGAATGTTTCTGTGTACGTAGATTTCTTTGTCACGATTATTGCTCCACATTCTTATGACCAGTGTCCACATGTACAAAAGTTGAAATCGGCAGATAACCTGCAATTTATTTTTTATGGTGTCCACATGGACACAATTTTTTACTGGTATTCCTTTAAGTATGTTTTTGATGTACATGTAATATGTTTTGATGTACATCTAATATGTTTTGATGTACATCTAATAAGTTTTTGTTCGTAAACGGATGTGGATGATTTGTGTGTTTATGACTTATCTCTTTTGTTGACTTCTAATGTGTGTGAGAATGCATGATAATTTTGTTATGTTGTTTATGTGTAGATAATTGCATGCTGTTGTTTGTACATGTGTACCTTTATTTGGGTAGTTATAGAAGGTGTACACGTAAAGAAGAAAGGTGCACATGATGGATTAGATGTTGTCGAACTATATACACAGTGTACGTGTGTACATTTAAGTTGAGTTGAAAGTTGACGTATAAACTTTTTCGGTTTTAGAAAACATAAGGTGTACATGCGGTCGACCTATGTATTGGACTATGGATGTTGGATTATGGTGTACATGTGGACAATTACTATGGTGTACATGTGGACAATTTAAAATGGTGGTAAATAACACCTTATTATCTGGAGAACATAGTTCGAGAAAATGGAAAACCTTAGTGTACAGACGTACACTATAACAAAAGTGTTTATGAGTACATTGAAAATAAAGGACCAGTTGTCGAATAATGGATGTTGGATTAGAGGACAGCATAGTGGACAATTATGATGGTGTACATGTGGATAATTAAAAATGGTTGTAAATAGGCCCTTATTATCTGGAGAACATAGTTCGACGTAATGAAAAACCTTAGTGTACAGACGTACACTATAACAAAAGTGTTTATGTGTACATTGAAAATAAAGGACCAGTTGTCGAACAATCGGATGTACAGGCTCGTAATTAAAGTAAAACAAGGGTGTACATGTGGTCGAACTATGAATTATACTGTGGATGTGTACATAGAGAAGAGGTTTGGATTTACAGACGTAGTGATGTACATATGGACAATAAAAAATGGTTGTAGATAGCACCTTATTTTGTGAACAACATAGTTCGACGTAATGGAAAACCATAGTGATGGATTAGATGTGCTCGAATGTATCACAGTGTACGTGTGTACATTTTATTTGCCATGCAAGTTGACATATATACTTTTCCGGTTTTAGAAAACATAAGGTGTACATGTGGACGAACTATGAATTAGAGTGTGGATGTGTACATAGATAATATGTTGGATTAGAGCACATAATGGTGTACATGTGGACAATTAAAAATGGTTGTAAATAGCACCTTATTATCTGGAGAACATAGTTCGACGTAATCAAAAACCATAGTGTACAGACGTACAGTACAACAAAAGTGTTTATGTGTACATTGAAAATAAAGGACCAGTTATCGAAATTATAAGAAGAAAGATTAATGGAGGGTCTCTTAGTTGATTATGTTAACTGTCTATATTAGAAGACAAACCTCTGTTTTGGATACAGTAATCGGAGAATGGTGAAGATTGATAAGAAGATCCGTAGGAAATTGGAGAAGGAGATGGGAAGAAGTGTTATGAAAAATAAGGAAATCTCTACCGTTGAAACAAAAGGAAAATCTAATCCAATGGTCTAGAAAAGAGACAGATATCTGTCTAATCAAAAAATAGAGATTTGATCTGAGGCGTTAGATAGGATATAGATCAACGGCTGAAGTGATTTCCCGCTTAAACAAATACTCTTGTTCATGAATTGGTAACTATATTGTGTCGGGTAACGAGAGGAAAGAGAGATAGTTAAGAGAAAGTGTGTGTGTAGCAACAACTGACTCTTTTTGACATTAAAAACATAAAACTGCCCTAGAATGTAAATATTTCTTAAAGATAGATCATAGCTTCTTGCCTTGGCCTTTTCCATACTCTCTTGTTTGGTAAACTATTTATATCTGCATATATACTACTGGGCCATTCTCTTAATAGTTGGTGGTTGCCAAAAAAGTGACGCCAAGGAGGTGCAGCACCATAATTCTAATTGATTGAATTCATGTTTTTTAGCAGCGATCGAATAACTAATGGAGAAAGTAAGAAACATTACCCATACATTCTTGGTGGTCATAATTACACCTACAATTGGCAACACGTTTTTGTCTGTTGGCCACACACAGTTAGAAATAAGTTCAAATAAAATTGGTTGAGGAGACCAACTACTATTGCAATTCCACGAGTTGTGAAACGACACAATGTTTGTCTTTTTCGTTTGTTTGACAATTATTGTAAAATTTTTGTAAATTAATAAATATAATAAATTAATAAAAAATAATTTCGAGTTAAACTGGTTCAAAATATAATACAAATTGAAAAAATAATAAGATAATAATTTAAAAAAAACTTAGGTAAATATATGATTCCTTTAAACTCATAACCTAATATATATATATGTATGTTTTATTTAAGTACATCAAACCATTAATTATTTTTTTATATTTAGAATACAATTATTTATATTTTTCTTTACACTTCAATATTTGGACAATATATCTAATAAATTATATCTAAAACCAAATTTAAATTTAACGAAGTATATTTCATAGACATCAAATAGAATAAAAAAATATGAAATTTGAATTTCAAAATTTTAATTACTTTATAAACAGTAAAATAAACTATTTTTATTTTATAAAAAATATTCTAAAATATAAAGTCTAAAAAGAAAACGTTTTTGTAAATAAAATAATTCTATAAATTAATAAAATATTCTATTCCTGATATTATTAATTTATAGTTTTTTTTGTATTATCAAGAACATCATCTTCAAAACGTCAAAAGCGTTTTGTATCGTAAACACAGCACCACAAGCTAGTGCATTTGAGAATCGTTCTCATTTCAGGGTGCTAGAAGTTGTGGATGAAGTTGAGAAAAAATCATCTAATTTGCTTAGCTTGACAAGGGGTGGGAGGGAGAGAAAACCTCCTATCAAATAACAAAGACATGGAATGGAAGATGGTCCAAGAGAAGAAAAAATTTACAAAATTTTGTGATTGACGTCGTAGTGATTCTTATCACTAGTTATTGTCTTTCTTCCTTTGTTGTTTCATAGGTTAGGACTTATAATCTTTCAACTTTTCTTAACTCTGGCGTAATAGTTTTTGTTTTTTCTTTAAATTGAAACCTTAGTACGAAAAAAGAAGTTGACATCATAATCAAAGAACACGTATGCAGGGAATATATACAGATACCAATGACTCATGACAAGCCTTACAGTAACCCTTTTTCGGAAAGAGCAGCTTTCATCTCTTTGAGTGACTCTTCCATGTCATCACATATCTTGTGAGGATCCGGGATGATTCTGGGATCAACCGCTAACGAGATTATCATCTTCCCCGCATAACTCATGTAATGTACCAACAACGCCTATCAAACATAAGTGTCCGAAAAAAAAGTCAATAAAGCCTATCATTTAATTAAATTACGCAGCAAAAAAAAAGCTACGTACTTGTGATTGTCCATAATTGCTTGGAGCGATGTAAGCGATAGGATGGCCACGGAAACTTATTTCCTCCATAGGACCAATGACGTTTGAAACGCATGTAGTTAAGTTCACCACCGGTCGATTGAATATGGTTGATGCTGCCTATTATATTGACAATATTGCGTTAATATTGCAAACAAATGTCTAACCAAGTTCATTGATTACTTTGTTTACCTTAGCTCCAAACACTTTTAAGATGATGTTGATGATAAAATACACTAGTTCAGCGTGATAAGAATGTTTTTTTCGAGCCATGGTGGATTTGGATATTTTAAGATACACCAAAGGATCGGTTTGTAGACCGATGGAGAAGGGTAAAATAATAAAGCTGAAGTAGTTTCCCCATCTGCATTTTGAATCTTTGGCCATCATATCTGCCAAAGGCTTTTTATATACACATTTGCTTGTCAGTGACAACAATACAAGTTTCAGTTGACTTTGATGAGGTGTCTATATTATACTACATATGTATCTCTAACCTTGAACCCGATGTCCGACCTTAGATTTACTGTACAGCCTGCACGGAAACGTAATTGCCTTGGAAGATGGTTCTGATTCGATGTCAACACTCCCTCTTCCTCATTCTTCTTGCCTTGTTTATCAAGAAACAAGATATTAGTGCTAGTAAGTTAATCGTTAGATAAACAAAAAAAAAAAAAATTTAATCGTTAGAAAGCTTAAATAACACTCTGTTTCATAATTTAGTCTACGATGTTTTAGCTAAAACAAAAAGGTTAATAAAAAATTAAATATATAAATTAAAATAATATAATCAATCATGTTTCAGTAATATTAAAGTTAACATAGAAATGTCAATACATCTTACAATTTTAAATAACAAAAAGTTCTACAACTTCATATATTATACTCTCTCTATTTCATTATAAGTATCATTTTGGAGTTGTGCACACGGATTAAGAAAACAATTAATTTTACATATTTTCTATATAAAAACACAATTACCTATACACCTAACCACATTTTATCCAATAAAAAAAATAAATTATATAATAAAGTTAATAAATTTTATATTGAAAATCGAAAATGACATTTATTTTGTAACAAAAGTTTATTTCTACAACGACACTTAATATGAAACAGAAGGAATTAAAATGGAAAGAATACGTTGTATGTTTTGAGTTTAATGTTTACCATAAAGTCGGTTCAAATAGCGAGAAAGAGCAGCTTGTGTAACTCCAAGTAGGACATCATTGATAGTCTAACAACAGACGAAAGAGACATTAAAGATCCATTTAAAAAATAAAGAGAAACCCTTAGTTATGAACATAAACCGTAACGTACCATATTCATAGAGTTCTTTATAAGTTTTATGTCATCCAAAGAGATAGTTCTTCGATAAAATCTCGTTGGATTCCTCCCGACATCCTTGCCACCTTTTAGAGGTGTCTTTGTATCCTCCAAAAACAATATAGTCGCCAAAAGAAGCAATATATCTACAAAAGTGTTCCAAATCAGTCTCGTTACAGAACCAACAGTGAATATCAACCTTAAGAACCAGCTTCGTTTTATAAGTCCATGCGGCACCATTTGACGCCGTTTCAAGGAAGGAATAGCAGTATTGTCAGGGTCTGATGTCTTATGGGTACATGCGAGCATGAGGGAAATCAAAGACATTCCATCACCCAACGAATGGTGAGATCTTATTACACCGACTGCTTCAGCATCTGAGGTTTTTACGTTAAGGATGTGCATGTCCCACAAGGGTCTTGATCTATCAAGAGGAATCGTCGTGAGACGTGAGATGTAGTCATCTACGAAGCCTTGTCCATCTTCACCTATCTCTTCTGGGTCTATGTATGGTACAACTACATGGTCTTCTACATTGACTTGAGTTTCAATCCATTTTGCACCATCCTCAGACTATGAAGTTAAGACAAACGGAGATTAAACACAACCAAATTAATCCCAAGTAGAAATTTAGGGAAAGTTGTATATGTATAACAATTGTATTAATTCTTAAACTATATTTAGAAGAAATATTTTTTTTTATTTTTTTGCTAGCAAAACATTATTTATGTAGTTAAAAAAACTATTTAGAAGAAAGATTTAGTACACACACATATATATATATATATGTATGTGTGTGTTTTAAGTTAGAGATTAAATACATAAATATTTGAAATATAATTTTATAAAAGTAAACATTTAGATTTTGATCATGTTCAGATGCACTAATTGTAATATATTGTATAAAGTTGGTACGTACCAGTTTGGAGGAAAAACGAGGATGTTTGGAGACATTATGCTTCAAGGCATCAAGAAGGACGTCCGGACAGAACTTGGTTTTGAAGCCCATGATGGTGACGGCGCAGTAGTCTACCTCTGGTGATTGGAATACACGCGCCATCGGGCTGAGCGGCTCCTCCTCCACCTCCTTCACCTCTTCCTCCATTATTCTAACTTTCATCTTCGATGTCTGTGTTCTTCTCTCGTAGATCGCCTGTTTATTTATAACGTGAATAGGGGCATCTAGCATGAAGACTATTGGAACACGAGCATCTATTCACACTGACAATTTATTAGTGCATAAAATAGTAAAATATCTTACTTATCACCTTAAGTTAGTCTATATAATTGCCCCTTGTTTTGTTTTATTCTACCAATTATATATGCACTGTTTATAAATATCATTTGGACCGGCCCGTGATTATATGTAGTTTAGAACAGTAAGATTACATTTAATGTGAATTTGATTGACGATCAGCTAGAACAAAAATGTTGGTGCCGTATACGCCTTACTCAAAATTCAAGCTCAGCCAAAAAAAGAAAGTGTTACAAGTAATTATCCGTCATGGAGTCAATAAGGTTGCCGTTGAGATTGAAAAGAGTGTGTTAACGCGACAAAAGGTTGTTTGTGGATAATGTTTGAAAGCATTTATGTTGTCTGCATAATCCCACTTGTTTTGCGTATAACTTTAAAATCATTTATTTGGGTTCTAAAATTCAACAAAATATCATACTTTTTTTATCTCTTTAATTTGAAGTCTGACTTTGAATATTAAAACAGTTGGAGAAAGTGAGAAATAGTTATCCATATATTCTTAGGTGGCCTTAAATACACCTACTATTGGCAAGACGTTTTTGGTTTGTTGGCCACACACAATTGGAAAATATGTTCCAATAAAATGGTTGAGGAGACCAACTACTATTTGCAAATTCTACAAGTTGCGAACGACAAAATATTTGTCTTTTCGTTAAAAAAATAAATAAATAAAAGTTTGACAATGGTGTCAAGAAGACAAAAACATAATCACTCACTAAAGCCTCAAAAGTTTGACATTTTTTCATATATTTCAATTCAACTTACTACCTGCAGCACATGTCTGAACGCAAAATCAAATCTACTTTTTTGTGTTAATTTTAAAAATCAATGAATTGAAAGAATCTACGATAAGAACTGAAAACGAGAGACCGTGTTGTCTCTCTCACGACCAGTCACGCACGCCCCCATGAACCCACCAAAGAAGAAGTAAGGAAATTAAAATATGAAATAAAGTTACATGCAAGTCTGTTTCAGTCACTCACTTTACTTTCCTGTGATCTGTACAACGTTTTTGCAACGCATTGGACATGGATAACATTTTGAGAAGTCCTACCTCACGAACAAAATGAGCATATGCTATTGTTTGCATCTCAAGTCTTTCCTTGTTTATCGTCTGATTGGTCAAAATGAAGAATGTGTAAATGCCAGTCTTCTATTTGAGAATATGTAGAAAGAGGTTCTGTTGGATTTGCCATCACTATTTTGTTGACTCATCACGAATTTGAAAAAGCGAGGTCATGAGGTCGTGTGAGATTTTATTCAGATTTCAGACACAGGTGATGTGTTAGCTGTCGGAAACAGGAAGTGATTGCCATTGATACAAGATAGATAGAAAGAAGCAGAGAGATCTCTGTGAGACCAGATTATTAACTACCACTGATTCTTTTAGAACAAAAGTACAAAACACATCTTGGAAACTCAGACATCATCAATCACATGGCTTAACCAATAAACTATTTCAAACAACAGAAATTATGATAATCTGCGATCCAAACATATGCATTTATACTTAACTGTGATAAGGATTCACATTCGCAGATATCTTGCGCATTTTCTTTCTATTGGTCAAGTATAAAGGAAAAAAAAAAACAAAACAAGTTCAACCTCTGTAACACTTTCTGCTCAGAAAAGCAAAAGATTAAACAAACGCATTTTTCAAATTTCCATAAGAAGAAAAGAACAAAAAAAAAAGACCTCTATTCATTCCCCCGTCTCCAAATCTAACAGCACCTAAGATAACTCGGGCTCTCTTTGTACATGGTAACTTCCAAACCACACAATATGGGAACTCTTGTCAAGAACAACTAAGCAAACACAAAAGCCAAGAATGATTTGCCAGTATGGCTACATATATAGCCAAAGCGTGTCTCTCTCTTTCTCAGAGACTTGGCTGATTATGGCGCACCTGAAGAATCTGTCTCAACTGGTTGTTCAGAGCCTGATGAGTTGGTTGCTGAACTTCTTTCTCTTTCTCTCCCTGCTGCTGCTGCATCCTCTGCAGCTTCTGCTTCAGTTTTCTTCGCAAACCGGCCTCCACTAGCCCTTGCTCTTCTCATTGCATGCTTGTGTCTCGACTCATGAAGATATGGCTATTACACAAGAGGACAACACGACTTGATCGAGTTACACAGAAAACTTATTCAAATGACAGTACACTATGCTTAGATTCCATTTTCTATTAAAAAAGGAAAGAAAAAAAAACCTTTTTGTTGATCACTTTCCTTTCTAGCTCAGCCTTGGCACGTGCTTTTCTTCGCCTTAGAATTCCTTGGTACTGTTTTGCATTCACATAAACAGGTTCTTGTGTCATGTCAAGTGGCAGAGCTGTTCTATCACCAGGCATTCCAAGATATGGACGAAACCCCTGCTTGAACAACATATAGATTTAGATACTCAAACCTGACTCCTGACTCATCTAAAAAAGTAGTAAGAAGAGACATAACCATATTATAAGAGAGAGAGATGTTTAATAATAAGATACCAATGGTTGAAGATGACCATATGCTCCCATCATTCCTCCATAATATGGATTTGGGACACATGCCTGTAATATGTAGTTTATGAGGTTCATCATTTAAAAGGAAGAATAAGTTAATAGCTGAAGAACTGACACATTTAATCAGAGGAAGGAGAGGAAACCAACATACAATGTAGTGACCAACAAGCTCTGGTGGTTGTACAATCTGCTGATCATGCATAGAAGCCATTTGATCATTCCCTTCTACTGAAAATTGATGAGAGACACGACACTATTATAGGTACCAAAAAAGGAAAAAAATGCCACACTTTAACAAAGACATTATCTCCTTTTAATTCATAAAAAAAATATAAAACCTAACATTCATGGAAATCTCAAAGACGTTTGAGTAACGTTTCCGCCAATAAGATAAGCATTTGAGAATAATGTCACATGTTAACCACATAAAATAAGTTAGTGCAAATTGCAAAAACAAAACCTGGAGGGGAGGAAGTTGCAGCTTGTGAATTCTCCTTCCAAGGGCCATCGTCTTCTTCCGAAGCTGAATCATGAGCATCGTTTGACTGATCAGAACCATTACAAATTGGGACACCACCATTACCAAAAGAAGAGTTGTTGTTTTTCCACCAAGGGTCAGGAATAGGATACATCATCATTGGTTGTTGCTGCTGATGATCAGCCTGGTGGTGGTGATGGTTGACTTCTTCCTCTTCATTTCCTCCTCCCAATTTCGATTGCATCTAATTCAGAAAATCGAATCAAACAACAAAAAGGTGTAAACTTTTTAAAAACTTCCACCTCACAATCAATTAAGCAATGAAGAGACAGACAAGCAAACGCTCAAAAGGTGAAAACTTTAAAAAATCTTCCTCCTCTGAATATTACAATTCAAAAACTAACATAAGCTCACGTCATTATTCAAAAGCAATTTTGTTGTCTGAATCCAGAGACTAAAATTCATAACACAAGATAGAGAAAAAGCAAAATTAACAGATACCAGATAAAAACCTTGAGGAGGTTATGTAATTGATCACGATTTTAGCGGGAGTTCAGACCAGGGAACAAGCAAACAAAAAGAATTAGAATTTAAACAAAAACAGAGAAGAACTTATTAGTGATGTGAAGTGATTCGGAAAACCCCGACAGCCGACAGTAACTGAAAACTCGTAGAAGACCGAATAGGATTGGGCAGCAGAAGATAACCCTAGTTTTCTTTTTTTTGGGGATTTCTTTCCTTTTTTCAGAATTGTGAGTTCATAAAATTAGGAATGTGATTTTGACACGTGGCATTCTTTGAAAGATGCCAGCGCGCGCAGACCTGGGATCGTCGCCGGGTGATGTAATCAGAGGTTTCGTTTTTTTCTCCGGCAAAAGTGACACGCAAACTGATCGGCTGAAATGAGCGACACGTGGAATTTGTGGCCAAAACAAATTCTTTTTTTTTTTGTAACACAAATGTCCAAAACAAATTCATTTTTGGTAAAATGCTGAAAACTTTTCTTCTTTTTGTTTTGCATTGATGAAGAATTTTATTTTATTTTAAAAGAATTTTGGCTGGAGTGCATTATACTATAGACACTTTTGTATCTTTTTTATCACCTAAAGACACATTCTACTTAAGAGTCACAATTCGTGTTTTCGAAAGTGTTTTTAGACAACTATATCATTGGACAATTGAGAGAGAAGTCGTGAATGAAAAAAAAAAAGAGAAATGAAAAAAAAAGTAATGATGAATTTTTTGGATCAGCCAAAAAAAAGAAAAAAATGTTACTTTCAAGACTTAGTAACATGTTTGCATCAGAAATCAGACTCGAGAAGAAAATTTGTAACAGTTATATATTACAAGGTTCATTTGTTTAAAGAGTTTGCTTCTATTATCCGCATCCACACAATTATAAATCAATCCAAACGTTTGGATCTATTTTTGTTTGTTTCAATCTTATGGTGAAAATTAAAGCTCATTTTACCACACACTAATTTTCTTTAATTCCCATACAACTTTATGATAGTTTTTCTTCAGACGTTGTCTTCTCGTATGTCCACATCCACAAACTCTCATATCCACAATGGTTTGTTGCTAACACATTCATCCACAACTCTTTGCTAAGCTATTTTTTCATCTATAATCCTTTATTCCGTACACAACTCTCTTCTAAGTGATATTATATTGTATTTACAAAACTTGGACATGGGTTAGCGGTATAGTAATGACTGATTCCATGAACTCTTGAACTCTCATGTCTGATAATTGATTTCATAAACTGCACTATCATGTCTAAATACAATGTGGACATGGGTTCTGTGGACAAGTAAAGTGGGGATGGATGACTCGTGGATTGGCAATGGGTGGATATAATTGATTTGAATGTCTTCTAAATGAGAGAGAAATGTTAATATACCTTTGAAAAAAAAGATTTTAAAAATCTGAGTAAAATATTAGTTAAAAAACTTTGAAATCAAATCAAAATTTGGTTTCTGAAATAGTAAAGAATAACTTTGAAATTGATGATAAAAATTCAGATCTAAAGAAAAGAATATGATTTTTGGAGAAACTAATCTTGTATGTTGAGGATTCTTGAACAATGCAAGATGGGTTCGAGAAGAAAGTTGGACATTTATGAAATTATATAGTTAAAGTGCAAAAAGGGAGATGAGGGAGATCGAAGAAAATTGAACTCATCCGAAACCGAAGAAAAATGAGTTTGGGGAGATGAAATTAGAATTCTTGGATTAGGGGAAATAGAGAAATGTTAAATTTGGGAAGTGGTATTTTTCTATTTTGTGGGATTTGAGAAAGAATCGGAATTAAAACAAAAGGTGAAAGAAGAATGAAAATAATTTATTTAGAAAGTTGGAATAGTTGCAGGGTAAAATGGAGAAATCAACGTATAGAACCTACAAAAAAATGTGTCTCAAGTGGAATGTGTCCTAGAATTGTTAAAAGATCTTTTGGCTATTACCGCTGCGGCAAATATTTCGTTCAAACACGTGAACAAAGGTTTTATACTATCATTACTCTCTTATTCTGTTCACTGGCTAGGCAAAATGCTATGCTTACTTATGTTCGTTATGCGTTCACAGAACCACGGAGGATTGACGCATGTTGGTTAATAAGATACCTTGTTCTTGGAATGCTTTGTCGCTCTTGCGTCAAGTGTTTAACATTCAAGGCACTCGAAGGCTTATTTAGGTTGTATTAGAGCATTTAATCCCACTAGAATATGAAGTCTGGTGTGATTAACAGGATTAAACTGTGTTACCTGCGATTTGGTTTAGAGGACTAGTCATATAGATTAGAATATTTCAAGGAAAACCCCCTGTATCATGCAATTCGGGTACGAGAGGATAAACTAACTAGACAAAGTCCGGCTAAAATACAGTCATGATCTCATTTTGCTGTTACATTCACACAATACCAACACATAATTCTAGTGTTTAAAAAAAAAAATGTAATTCGCCTGGAGACTTTAAAGTATGTGTTCCATATATAACCAAATTCGACTGCTAACTAAAGCTCAATCTCAATTTAACCACAACCTCAATCCTATAAGTCTAACCTTATATCTATTATTATAAAGAAGAGTTTCTATCCTTCTCCTTGATCCACGTCACTAATTAGAAGAGTGTAGTGATGCCACGTGTTAATTGTTTGAGTTTCAAGATTAATTGTTAAGCATCGAGGTCTCCTCCAGAGACGGGAGCATCGATCGAGAAGCAGTTGACGAAGGAAGCGGCTTTGGATATCTCCTCGGCTAGAGAAGGCTCGGAGGTAGTCATGTCGACGAGGATGCCTCCCGGAGATAGACCGGACAGAGCACCGGAGTTTGGATCGAGGATGACGTGCCGGACATCTGAAGGGTAACCGACGATGGGGAAGACGACGTCTGATTGGGAAGCGAGGGAGTTTGGGGAGTCGGCTAGCTTGGCACCCATGGAGAGAAGACTCTGGGCTTTGGAGATTGTGCGGTTGAAGACAGTGATGGAGTATCCAGCTTCGATTAAGTGTCCGCACATTGACCAGCCCATGAACTCTGTCTGCTTCTTCTTGCCGTTAAGTAGCTCCAGTGATTTGGAAAAACAACCGCTTCCCTTTTCTTTTCAGATTTATTGGTAATGACAAGATTAATCGAGCCTATGGCTTCAAACATGTGGCTCATGTGGCTCTTGGGAGTTTCATCAAGGGCTTTCAAAACTCTCAGAGGGGACAGACATAACCTCGGCGGCTCCAGGCGTTCCCTCCAAAAATCTCGCAGCTGGGACGAAGGCGTTTCATCCAAATTCTCCACCACACCATTGTCAGATATCTTCAAGGTCAACCCTCTCTCTTTTTTTTCCTCTGTATTTTGATTTGCGGTGTAACCTCAGTTTCTGACATAATGATTGATTGTTATTGGTTGCAGGGGAAGAAAGTCGTCATCTTTGGACTACCTGTCAGAAAAGTTTATGTCCTTTAATCTTTCTTATGTCTTGATCAGGTTTCTGAGTTATGATTATTGTGTGTAGGGAGCTTACACGTGAGTCTTCTCACAGCAGCATGTTCCAAGCTACAAGAGCCACATGGATAACTATCCGACTCCCATATGTCGATTTGATTTGAAATTCAACTCTGCAACTTTCCCATCATCAAGTCGTCCATTACTATGACCAAGCTTTTCTACTGGTTCTTACAAGTTGTTCTTCAGAAAAGTCTACCCTCAACCCAAACGCTAAGGTTTTGTTTGCCGTGCCTAGATTATTATGATTAATGAACGTAGGATCTGCTTTTAATCTTAAAAATTTGTTAATGGGCTTAAGATCTGATTCAGGAATTCAGCTAAACTCCAAACTCAAAGAGTTTCAAACCATCTCCAACAGGTACACGGTCTCAAATCTCCTTAAAAATCAAGTTTAAGTATCTGTTTTCATGTTTCTTATTCACAAAAAATGAAACTGCAGGTAGATGGGAGCAGTATTTGCTGGACAACATCCACAACTTTGCCCAAACAAACTTACTATACTCCAAATGGTCCACATGTTTGCTGTTAGTGCCATTACTCAAAAAAATCTTTATTGGAAGACAAAA